TTCCCTGTCATGGATCCCCTTAAATCTGGATCAAAATTGTGTTCTGAGTGTTACAATTTCGATGTCCTTACACATTGTAGTCTCGGTTCATTATTAATGGAAATAGGAATTTGTTTGCACCCTGTTGAGTAAACAGCACATTTTCTATTACCATTAATAACCGAGAGAACATGTGTAGACACCGAATTTTGTGTACCCGAAGTATTTTGTACCTTTAAAAATTTAAAATTCCCGCTTCTAACTAGCCGATAATCTAGATACCTGTTTTTACCGTCAAAGCTTCCCGTTACTGACGGTCAGCCGGATGTAGCGCAACGCGGTTCCAAGTTTTAACATTATACCGCCACCTCTCTTATTTTACTTTCTCTATGCTGGACTGGTCTTCTCTTCTAATCGTTGAATGCTAGCCTGTTTTTCTCTATTACATCGTTGCCAAGACAACACAGAATAGAGTACTGATGGCAACGAGGCAACAAACGACAAAGATAGGTGATCGTTTTAGGTATAAATAAACATACAGTGTTCGGCAGTTCATTAGGAAGTTTTTAAGGGTGATTCTGTAGGCTAAAATAATGATAGTGGGTCATGTAACAAAGATTCGAAATTCGAATATTTTTGCTGTTACAGTTCATCAAATTAATTTTTAAGAAATGTTTGTATTTGACCTACTTTGAACATTTCTTCCCGGATCAAATTGAAAATTGGTACAAAGTTTTATCATAGTAACCGTTAACTTTCTGATAAAAAAATGTTTTTCCACTTTACCACTAGATGGCACTTACCAGAAATCCAAATTTTATTTTTCGCATATCTTTTTTGGTACGCCAAACATTTGAATATTCTTCCCGATCCATTTTAATTTAGTGGTTTCAAAGCAGAAAAATTTAGTCTAAATTGAAGAGTGATGCAATAATGACTATAAATTGTCAAATTTGGAACATTTTAAAACCAGACGACCTGATTTGGTGCGATTTCAACTAAATCCAAGAACATTCGGTTGAGAGTGATAAAAACTTTATTGTTGATTTGCTCTTAAACGAAGAGGCTTTTCGAGCCGTGCGAAGAACATGTTTTTTTGTCTGGTATTTTCTGATGTTTAAAACATCTTCCTTTTTGCGACCTTCGGCTTTTCAAAAAAGATATGCGGAAATTTATATATGGATTATAGATAAAGTGCCATCTAGTGGCAAAGTGGAACAATAATTTTTGATCAGAAAGTTATAGATCACTATAATAAAATTCTGTACCTATTTTCAATTTTACGCGCCAGGAAATATTGAGAATAGGTCAAAAATAAACAGAAAAAATTTAGTTTGATGAGCTGCAACTCGGAAAATATTCGGAATTACCCTTAAAAAATATGTAGAATCACCCTTAAAAATTTCCGAACGCATTTATTCACGCCATTGCTTTAAAAGGGGTGACTGGGGCTCACCTAGACAATATTGAAAAATTATTTAAATTTTATATCTCGACGGTGAGAGAAAATGAAATTTTCTCCAGAAATCAGTGCAATTTAAGAACTATTTATTGATAGAAAACTTTTGTATAAGAAACTCCACATCAAGTAGTATGGTTTGAAGATGAGCTACATATATTTTTTCCAACTTTGCACATTTTGTTGGGTAATATTTTATTTTTTTTACAAGAAAAACATGTTTTACTTACTAAAAACGTAGTTAGAATACGATGTCCGGCGAGTTCTTACCACAAAAAGTATTCAGCTTTTATCATAAAAATGTAAAGAATAATATCACAAAGAGCATACCCCCAAAAAAGGGCAATCAGCCAAGTCACGGTATCCCACTTTTGAGAGACTTGGTAAAATTTAATTTAAAAAATTACGCACTTAGATTGAATGAGACGCAGAACGTTTTCCTAGAAATTTATAGGGCAAATCTTAAATGTACTTTTTCATGGTAAACCCACCGTATAATTGAGGCCTTTATTATTAACTCTGTTTATTTAATTTCGTTTATTTTTATTCAAATTTTATTGAAAATATTCTTTTATTAATATTGGCAAAACCATCTCAGAGAGAGCTAATTTTTGGGAGTTCAAAATCCAATGAAAGATTAGACCAATTAGCCAGCCAGTTCAAAAGGTTTAAAACATAATTAATGTTTCATAATAATTTCTACGAACAAGAAATACATGCGGCATACTTATGCGTATAGTACGTAAGTTATCGAATTAATCTTGAGCGACAGTTAGCAGACGGTGACAGTGGTCGTCAAACCACGTTTTCTTTTGTTAAATGATTTATAGTT